AACAAGTTCAACCCTTCGGTTGAGTAGGAGTTCTGAATGGAGGAAGAGAAATTCAGCAGGTTCCCCGACGGAGTGAAGGCAGCAGTCCTCTTCACCTCTATGGCTACCATGAAAATAACACTTGGTCACTAGTTACACCTCTTAAAGCTGCTCTCAGTTAGATTTGCATCGAACACCGAACTCTGAAAAATCAAGCTGATTTGAGATAAATCTCAGAGGGGAAAGTGGGCATGAAGAGGGAGGAAGAATAGTGATGGTAGGAATAGGAACTGGCGAAGGGGTTGGAGGAAGAGGAAGAAGGACGACGACGACGAAGAAGAAGAAGAAGAAGAAGAAGAAGAAGAAGAAGGAAGGAAGGAGAAGAAGAAGAAGGAAGGAAGGAGGATGAGGAGGAGGAGGAGGAGGAGGAGGAGCAGGAGCAGGAGGAGGAGCAGGAGGAGCAGGCGTAAACATCAAGATAGAAAGGACTATTCCTCTCCAAAACAACTGCCAAGCCATTGAGAAGCCACAGAATTGTCGTTAAATTTTTAAATTTGTTGATCGACTTCACAGAATACCGTGCGGGTGTGTGTTTGTGTGCACGTGTTGGCAAGGCAGGGTTCAGAAGGCTACTGTGGCCTCTTTTGTCTTGTCTGTAAGTTCAGAGAGAGAGATAGAGAGAAGAAAGAAAACAGGGGAACCCAAGGGGATTGCCTCGGCATCTAACTCATCTCGCGTGACGGAGGGAGGCGGAGGGAGGCGGAGGGATGAGGGGGATGGTGACCTTCAAGCGCCAGACAGAGCCTTTCCGGCGGACCGAGGTGGGGAGGAGGCAGCAGAGGAGGAGGACCTGGCTGAAGTCTTGCTGAGGTGATTGTTTCGCTTGTGGTTCTCCAGGGAGCGAGCCTGACAAAATCCGCGGTTGCAAAAGGGACATGCGAAGGGCTTCTGGATCAGGTGTGTATAGCTGAGAGGAGAGAGAGAGAGAGGGAACAATAAGAGCTAACTTTGGAGATTGTGCCGGTGGAAAATGGGGGCAACTAGGATAACTGGGTGCTGCGCAACTGCGTATCATCATCATCATCATCACCATCATCATCATCATCATCATCATCATCATCACCATCATCAATCACTGCCACCACCGTCACGATATCAACGATTCCCGTTATCATAGTCACGGGTGACATGAATGTTGAGAAAATGATTTTCCTAGTGGACGAACGATATCTCTCTAAGTCATATTTCGCAAATGCACATTGACTAATACCCTTTACGTCGGCCAGAGAAATCCCAGAATTTAGTTTTACTAGCTCAGTGAAAGTAGACAAACGAAAAAAACATAGTTTAAAAGAAGCAGATGTGAGCACTGGAATAAGAAGTTTATTCGCCTGACGTTTCGAAATCCATCGCGGATCCATCATCAAAATCAATAACAGAAATTGATAGTTAATACACGGACGTTTGAACATCAGTCAGCCTCGCGATTGACCCCTCTATCTATTACTGCCGTTCTGTTAATCAAATATGTCATCACTCGCCTAATGTTCCAGCCGCCCGGTTTCGGGGTCAGCTAGTATCACAGACAGGACATTTACGCGTGCTCCCGCCTAGTTCAGACGCTTGCTATTTTCTGCACACACTGAATAATCAGGTACGTCGGTGAGCGTGTGGTACCCGAACTGTGGTCAGCCAAAGGAGCAGAGGAGGTGAACTAGTCTTACCCACTTCCAGAAACACGTGATACCGTGGAAAATCCCGGAAAATTTACTCGCTAGTTTAAGCAACGAAATCCTGAGGTGAAGCTTTGGACCTCCGAAGTCCCCAAAAATGCCCTTGATTGTTCCGTCAGAACGGTCATATTGACCAATTGCGCCCTAGAAGTCAAAGTACTTTTACAGAGACCCGCTCAGACGGCAACTTGTACAAATTAAGCCTCTAAGTTACCATGAAGTAAACAGACCAGTGAGCATGCCACCACAACGGACAGGACTATGGGCCCGTGATCCAATGATAGCGTATTGGACTAAAGAACGCCGATTCGAATCGCACGCTGAGAACGGTTAAGGCACCAGACATGGCC